AAGTTTGTCAAGGTAAGGCATAACTACAACACAGAAGTTTGTCAAGGTAAGACATAACAACAACACAGAAGTTTGTCAAGGTAAGGCATAACTACAACACAGAAGTTTGTCAAGGTAAGACATAACAACAACACAGAAGTTTGTCAATGTAAGACATGACTACAAAACAGAAGTTTGTCAATGTAAGGCATAACTACAAAACAGAAGTTTGTCAATGTAAGGTTCCATAGACTAAAGGCAAACAAAGATATATGCATTATACCGTAAATTTCAAAATCTGTGAGTGTCCAGTACATTTACATGTGATACTAGTATTGTAAGCTGTCAGTCTTAGATACTGGGTAGCAAAACTTTTTCACAGATTTAACTGCAAATATCTTTACAAGGAACTGTGGATAAAACTGCATCATAGTGAGAGATTTTATTGTTTACAGGAAAAAGGGATGGCAGAATTGTATGAAATTGTTGAGATGTATCGTCCTGATGTCGTGTGGTCTGATGGGGACTGGGAAGCCACAAGTACCTACTGGAATGCCACTCATTTCTTGGCATGGCTGTACAATGAAAGGTTTTATACAAAATTACATTTCAGTAAAATTCGCCTTGATAATTGACATTATCTTAAATAAATAACTGTTATACAAAGATTTGGTAATAAGTGGGCTCTTCTGATTATTTTGCAGCCCTGTTAAGGACACGGTGGTGGTAAATGACAGATGGGGCCACGACTCTACCTGTAAACATGGCGGCTTCCTCACCTGTGAAGACAGGTTCAGACCAGGTTAATTCTGATACATCGGTTTTGTATAATGCTTTTCCTTTGGCTAATGCACTGATGTTTGAGGCAGTTAAAGTAGCACATGTATGAATGAGAGTGAAAGCTTTTGGTTATGATGTCATAATGGAACCAGAAAAAAAACCCAAGTTGAACACAATTGTTTTACAAGATTTGCATATGCTTTACCAGCAAATCTCAGTTTGTGAACATCAAATTGATTAAGGATCACAAGTAATAATTGAGGAGACAGTTTCTCTTTAAATTATAGCTTATATTTTAGTGGATTTAAATAGTATACACCCCGGTACATGTAAGACCCCCAGTCAACAGAGAGAGAGAGAGAGAGAGTGTGTGTGTGTGTGTCAAGAACATGAGCAACATACTGAATTTTTAAAAAAATGACACATTAAACTGAAATTAACTTGATTTGTCAATGTTTTGTAGTGCCAAGTAAGTTTCAATAAATGTTGATAAAAAAAATAATTATCTTTTGTAGGGAAATTACAGAAAAGGAAGTGGGAAAATGCAATGACCCTGGACCGCATCTCCTGGGGATTCAGACGTAACGCAGATCTGGCAGATTTTCTTTCTATGGAGGAGTTACTGGAATTACTGATCAGCACAATAAGGTACATATATTAATGTATATTACTGTTTTTAGGTCACCTGAGTAACTCAGGTGACCTATTGCTATCCGTTTTCGTCCGTCGTCGTGCATCGTGTGTCGTGCGTCGTGCGTCGTGTGTCGTGTGTTAACATTTGAACATTTTCAGCTTCTTCTCTGAAACCACAGAACCAATTTCAACCAAATTTGGTATACAGCATCTATGGATGGAGGGGAACAAAAATTGTGAATTTCATGGTCCCCGCCCCCCTGGGGCCTGAGGGGTGGGGCCAAAACCACTAAAATTATTGCAATCTTTAAAAATCTTCTTTTTTACTCCTGGACATCAAGCAGACAAACTGTTGGCATGAATGTAATGAGCATTGAGTCATCTACCAAAATTGTGAAATTCATGGCCCCAGGGTCAGGGGTTCTAGTGCTAGGGCGGGGCTCAATAGATTATATAGTGAAAATGCATTATTTCTTTGAAAATCTTCTTCTCTGCTCCTGGGTATCAAATAAACTAACTAAGCACATAGTTATGATGAGCAAAAGTGCCTCTTCCAGATTTGTGAATTTTATGGCCCCAGGGTCAGGGTTTCTGGTGTTAGGGTGAGGCTCTATAGATTATATAGTGAAAATGCATTATTTCTTTGAAAATATTCTTCTCTGCCTCTGGGTATTAAATAAACTAACTAAGCACATAGTTATGGTGAGCAAGAGTGCCTCTTCCAGATTTGTGAATTTTATGGCCCCAGGGTCAGGGTTTCTGGTGTTAGGGCGGGGCTCTATAGATTATATAGTGAAAATGCATTATTTCTTTGAAAATCTTCTTCTCTGCTCCTGGATATTAAATAATCTAACTAAGCAAATAGTTATGATGAGCAAGAGTGCCTCTTCCAGATTTGTGAATTTTATGGCCCCAGGGTCAGGTTTTTTGGTGTTAGGGCGGGGCTCTATAGATTATATAGTAAAATTGCATTATTTCTTTGAAAATCTTCTTCTCTGCTTCTGGATATTAAATAATCTAACTAAGCAAATAGTTATGATGAGCAAGAGTGCCTCTTCCAGATTTGTGAATTTTATGGCCACAGGGTCAGGTTATTTGGAGTTAGGGGCGGGGCTCTATAGATTATATAGTGAAAATGCATTATTTCTTTGAAAATCTTCTTCTCTGCTCCTGGATATTAAATAATCTAACTAAGCAAATAGTTATGATGAGCAAGAGTGCCTCTTCCAGATTTGTGAATTTTATGGCCCCAGGGTCAGGTTTTTTGGTGTTAGGGGGGGGGGGGGCTCTATAGATTATATAGTAAAATTGCATTATTTCTTTGAAAATCTTCTTCTCTGCTTCTGGGTATTAAATAAACCAACTAAGCAAAAAGTTATGATGAGCAAGAGTGCTTCTTCCAGATTTGTGAATTTTATGGCCCCAGGGTCAGGGTTTCTGGTGTTTGGGCGGGGCTCTATTGATTATATAGTGAAAATGCATTTATTCTTTGAAAATCTTCTTTTCTGCTTTTGGGTATTAAATAAACTAACTAAGCACATAGTTATGATGAGCAACAGAGCCTCTTCCAAAATTGTGAATTTTATGGCCCCAGGGTCAGGGGTTCTGGTGTTAGGGGGGGGGGGCTGTATTGATTATATAGTAAAAATACATTAATTCTTTGAAAATATTTTCCTTTGCTTCTGGGTTTTGTGCCAATGATCCAAGTATACATACATTTATGATGAAGAATGGAGCATCTAGCAAAGTGGTTTTTTTATGCCCCCAGAGTCAGAGAGGGGGGGGGGGGGTGTTTACATAGTCTGAAAATAAATTAATGCTTTGAAATCTGCTCTTTGGTTTTAATCAACCATTTTATGACAACATTTTAAAAATTTTGAAATACCGGTATGTGGCCCATGGATCAGTGGTTCCTTTAGGGTGAGGTACACAACTGGGTATAAAATGGAAGTGCATTTTCTTTTTGTTACTCTGATCTACCTCTGGGTATTAAGTAAATAGATTAAGCTAAGTTAATAATTATGATAAGCAATGGTGCCTCTTTTAAAATTGTAGATTGTGAATTGAATTTCATGGCCTCTGGTTTAAAACACAAACCAAATTTAATTGTTTGAAAGTTGTTACACAATACTCAGGTGACCTATAAGGCCCGTGGGCCTCTTGTTAATTAGTAACACAGGTTATCTCACATAATCATATTTACCTATGTAAACATTGGAAGCAGTTCTTGATCTTGATTCTTCATGTGCTATAATTGTAATTTGCAGTAAGAAAAGCTTTTTATACCTAGCTTGTTCTCCTTTTAGCTATGGAGGAAATATTTTAATCAATGTTGGACCAACTCCATATGGCACATTTTCACCCATTTATGAGGAGCGATTCAGCCAGCTAGGGTCATGGTTGAAGGTTAATGGCGAGGGTATCTACTCAACTCAACCGTGGATTCACCAGAATGACACTGTTACCCCTAAAGTCTGGTATGTCTATTTTATAGGTCAAATATATCACTGTTATCATTTCACTATCTATAAACAATTATTTTAAAGATACATAAATCATAAAAGAACCATAGCGATTTTATTTTTTGTGTTTTTGAAATGAAAGATAAGGTAGAAATTTTTCTTCTTATGTATGACTAAATGATCAGAAAAAAAGAAGAAAGAAACTCTTTATTTGGAGCAAAATCATTCAAGGAGGTTACTTCTTTTGCTCAAGTGAATTACTCTCATATCTCATTTAAACCTTTATTACAGGTACACTGCACCAAAAGCAGACAAGAAGGCAGCTTATGGGTTTTTCCTGGATTGGCCAATAGATGATGAGCTTGTTCTTGGCTCAGTTAGTGGGGCTACTCTCTCTAATGTAGCCTTGGTTGGAAGTAAGAAGACTTTGACATGGGAAAACAGTGGTAGTGGGATCAAAGTAATGATTCCTCCACACAACATCAGAGAAATGCCCTGCCTGTGGGCCTGGGCCCTGAAGTTCACATTCCATTAACTCATGTGATACAGTATGTTTTAGTTTGCATGGAGAGTTGATTTGGGCAGCGGCAGATAGAAACTGTACTACTAAGAAATCCATTTAAAGTATGATGTCATTTCTGGCATGGTTTTTAATTAGATTATAAAAATCATTTAAATCATGAAGGGAATTGCTTCATTCAAAGGTTTGTTTTCAATGAATTTTGTGAGCAAATGTCATAGTTTCTTCTTCCATGGTACATGGGAGAGAAGTATCTAAGTTTTTGGAACTTGTGCCCAATCCATTTGACATGTTGTCAATAAAGTATGCTCAAAACAAACAAACAAAACATTTTACAAGCATTATGTACATGTACCATGCTTGTTTTGATTTGACATGTAATTGCTAAATTCTAAAGCTATATAATCATGTATTTCATGCTTGAAACACTCTCCATTTTAACTTCATAAATTTCTTTTGGTTAAAACCCATGTGTAAATTTTGCAAACTGTGAAAAAGATAACTCAATTCTGTATAAAGAAGAATTCATACCATTGTTTCATTCTTTAGTCTGGTGCTATAATACAAGAAATATTCACCATTTAAACAAATTTGATAAAAAAGGGACTTTTAGCTGTGTTTTTTGATTCACTGTCATGAATGTCTGCAGTCTTCAGTGTGTAATGTGATATGACTTTCATTTTATTGTGGTCAGCAAGTTAAATTATTACATTCTGGTCACTGGGTCATATAATGACATGTTGTGGTGATGTGATCATTTGGTTTAATTGTGACATGGGGTGTGGTCATTGTGTTATGTAATGACATGTGGTCATTGAGTTATACTGTGACATGTGGTGGTCATGGTGTTATACATGTATCATGACATGTGATCATTGGGTCATATATTGACATGCTGTGGTCATTGGGTTATTTTATGGCATGTTGTGGTCATTTGGTTACAACCAAGTTCATATATCATGACTTTTGACAATTGTTTAAAGGTCATGACTTTTGATATTGTATGATCAACAAGTCATTTGATGACTTTTTAAGGTGCGCCATGTTATATTCATTTCTTTAATACTTATAATTAATCCATGGATACTGTGATAAGAGAGTAATTTTTCTACGAATAATTATATCCAGTACTGTACAGTGTAATTATAGCTTATAGTTATACATGTAATTTACCATTTTTTTTATTTTGAACATTATTACCTTGTAATATCTGTATCAAGTAATGTTTTATACTCAGCTTTGTATACCTGTATTTGCATTAACTTGACATGTATGTATTATCTCTTTGTTTATTGTAACATTAATTGATGCTTTGTGAAATCCTTAATGTATTTCCTGGTTATATTGATTTTATTAGTCCCCTACCGATGAAACCCGAGGGGACTATAGGTTTCCTGTGAGTCTCTCAGTCTGTCTGTCTGTCCATCTGTCTAGCTGTCTGTCAGTCTGTCCGCTTGGTTTTCCGCACTTTTTTTGAAACGCTTGCAGATATTGAGCTGATTTTTGGTATGCGAGTGTATCTTGATGGGTTACAGATCAAGATAGAATTTCATTCCGCTTCATTGGTTTTTGACAGAATTATGGCATTTTTAATTTTTCATAATTGGGATTACGATCAAGTTTGTTATGCACTAAATTAAAGTTCCGAATGAGCTTGTATCATAATTAGAAAAGGGGAACCTGGTAGGGGCCATGTATTGCTTATGCAATACTCTCAGAATTCTTGTTTGAATTATTTATCAAAACTTACATTTGCAGTACATTGTATAATCAAGAAGTATTAGTCAATAGTAAATGAAACATTAGCACTGGATTGCTCATTTTATGATAAATTTGGGTAACTTGACATCAAGGTGACAATATTGCTACTGTTTTCCATCAAGTGTGTGTTGAAATGAAGCAATTTCAACTTATCTAAGTTTGAGAATTCTGTGTATATTGCTGATTTTGTAGTCCAAACCTTCTGGGACTTGAGGAATGGGGCCAGCACTATGAAAATAAATGCAATATTGGAAAAAAAAATCATTAATTCCAGCAAGCAAAGTCTTACATAATTATTAATTACAATACTAACCCTGTACCAAGATTGTAAAATTCATGAACCCCTGGTTCCAAAGTATAGGCTCAAGGGTGAAGCTATGTTTGTCTTAAATTAAAAATTCAGTATAACATTGACAATCTTCTTTACACCAGGATACCTAGCCCAAAAACTATATAATAATACTATTCATGACCTAAATTAGCCATGGCCTTGCCAAGATTATGAAATTTATATCCCCAAGATCCAGGGTTCAGGTCTCAGGATGCATGGGGGGGGGACATTAAAATTGAAATCTTTACTTAAGGACATCTAGGGAACAAACTGTTTGCACAATTACAATGAACAGCTAGGCCAAGCCCTCAATAAAAATATATTAAGTCCTGTTTCTTGGTACCAAAATGCATTCCCACGTCTGGGTAAAGTTTTCAATTTTTTGTATTTCGGACTCAAGCTTCCTAAATATAGCTGGTGCGACTGAGTTGAGCATGCCTGAGAAACTCGTGATACTCAGGTGACTCATGAAGCCTCTTAACAAGTTTACAATTTTATTTAACAATTATGTATTTGCTCTTGTTATTTTAAATCTAGTTAGGTACACGCTTGTATTTTTTTTCTTGTTTATAAGTATAGTATTATTTAATAAATTAAGCATGCAAAGTGTTTGTATCCTTTTTTATTCCAAATTAAATTATGTATGGTTTGGGTCGTTGATGTCAGCCTGGATAGCTCAGTCGATAGAGCAACTGACTGGTGATTCAGTGGTTCCTGGGATTGATTCCCAGTCCAGCCATACATTTTCTCCTTTCTTAATTACAATTGTATATTATGTAGGCTGTATAATAGTTGTAAATGGTGTTGGCATGCAACAGTGACATATTCATAAGTTGTGTCTGATAATAAATTTATAATACTTAATAAATAAACATGATGCCCATGGGCCACATTGCTTACCTGAGTAACTTTGGCAATGCTGTTCTTTAATATCCCTTACCAAAGTAAAATTATTGCAGCAATATTGCTGATATATTGCGGCAACATTGCGGCAACACATTTTTGTCACCAGAAACAAGCTTTTTGGGTTAGTGAAATATCACCGCTAGCGGCAACAACTTCTGGTGACATTCCGGCAATACTGTGAGAAAAAATGAAATATCACCGCTAGCTGCAACAACTTCCGGTGACATTCTGGCAATACTGCCAGAAAAAACTTTCTGGCAACATCTAGGATTACCCATGAACCATTTGTTGAGCATGCTCAGTCATTTACTTCCTCTTTTTAAATAAAGTGGAGGGAATTCAAAGGCAAGCATGTTTTGCTTCATTACTGACTTGTATCAAGTTGATTAGAGTTGTTAATTGTGTACAGTGGGATTAGTCAAGATGAGTAGTAAGACTGCATTATGTGGACTGACTAGAAAAAAGAATTTAAGCAGAATTATAGGAATGTGTATACTCTAGCTGTTTCCATATCATCAGACTTGGTGAGTCAAAACCAATATTCTTTTTGAGATGTCAATGATTCAATGGAGATAAAAATTGGAAAAATTATATGTGTTTCAATTAGTGCTTGTGATGCACGCATACTAGACTTGTATGCCCGCAGGAAAAGATGAATTAAAGCATGTTATTTGAAAATAAATGCAGAGTTGCTGGACATTTTCACAGTGGCATATTAATATTGTTTCTATAAACATTTTTATACCTGTCTCGATAGATCGGGGGTACATATTGTTTTTGTCCTGTCTGTCTGTTTGTAAACTTGAACCTTCACCATTACTTTTGAACCAATGAGAGATAAAGATTTCATATTTGGTGTGTCTACTCCACTAATTATGTTCTTTCAAATGACATCAAGGTCAATGACCTTGTGACCTTGACTGTGACCTATATGATAAAAATAGCTTTTTCGAATATTCGTCATAACTTAAAATTAATGAAAGATAGAGACTTTATATTTAGTATGCATAATTCACTAATTAAGCTTTTTCAAAAAACACCTGAAGCTGAATGACCTTGAGACCTTGGCTGTGACCCACATCCTTAAAATAGATTTTTTGAATCTTGGACATAAATCTTGAGCAATAAAAGATAGAGAACTTGTATTATGTATACACCCTTCATTAATTAACCTCTTTCAAATAACACCAAGGTCAATGACCTTGGGACCTTGACTGTGACCATATACTTAAAATAGATTTTTTGAAACTTCGACATAACTTTTGAGTCATAAAAGATGGAGAATTCATATTTGATATGCACCCTTCACTAATTAAACTCTTTCAAGTAACACCAAGGTCAATGACAATTTGACCTTTACTGTGACCCCTATGCTAGAAATAGCCATTTTGATCCTCTGCCATAAATTTTGAACTATAAGAGATAGAGACTTCATATTTAGTATGCATACTCCACTTCAATTAAGTTCTTTCAAATGACACCAAGATCAATGATCTTGTGACCTTGACTGTGACCCATATGCTATAAATAGCTTTTTCAAACTTTATTGCCACAAGGCGCACAGTGTTTCACAAACATATCTTGATTTTCATTATGATGATCAATATAATTTTCTATCTGTTCAAAGAATAGCAGAAGTAGCTATTTCTTATTGACCCTGTGGCTTGCTATTGTTTAAATTGTTATATTCCTCAGCACAGTTTGTTAATTGTTAGATTGATAGATCATTATTTCCATTAAATACCAATTAATATCTTAACTTACATACGAAAAACGATATAGCCGCAATATTGTGGCAATAATGCCGGAAGATGTTGGCAGAAGATCAATATTTTGGTCATGATTTGCAGCAATATTGCCGCAACCCTTTTCTGGCAATATTGCCGCAAAACTAATTAACATACGAAAAACGATATAGCCGCAATATTGCGGCAATAATGCCGGAAGATGTTGCCAGAAGATCAATATTTGGGTCATGATTTGCAGCAATATTGCCGCAACCCCTTTCTGGCAATATTGCCGCAAAACTAATTTACATACGAAAAACGATATAGCTACAATATTGCGGCAATGTATTGCCAGAATGTTGCTGCAATATTGCGGCAATAAAGCCAGAAGATGTTGCCAGAAGGTCAATATTTTGGTAAGGGATCAGATTTCTCCGTTGTAATACCTATTGTGACCCCACAATACCACCAGGGGTCATGATTTGAACAATTTAGAATCTACACTACCCAAGGATGCTTTCACATAGGTTTCAGCTTTTCTGGCCTAGTGGTTCTTGAGAAGAAGATTTTTAAAGATTTTTCCTATATATTTCAATGTAAAACTTGGATTCCCTATTGTTGCCTCGCTCCCCCCCCCTCCCCCATGCACCCTAGGGGGGGTTGTCATGATTTAAAAAAAAATTGATATCTACACTATCCCTGGATGCTTCCACATAAATCTCAGCTTTTCTGGCCCAGTAGTTCTTGAGAAGATGATTTTTAAAGATTTTTCCTATACGTTTCAATGTAAAACTTGGATTCTATATTAAGGCTTTGCTCTATCCCTGGGGATCATGATTTGAACAATTTAGAATCAGTACTACCCCAGGATGCTTCCACATAAGTTTCAGCTTTTCTGGTCCAGTGGTTCTTGAGAAGAAGATTTTTTAATGACCCCATTCTGTCTTTGTCTTTTCTTGATTATCTCCCCATGAAAGGGAACTTGGCCCTTCCTTTAAACAATTTAAACTCCCCTTCACCCAATAATGTTTTGAACCAAGGTTGGTTAAAATTGGCCCAGTTGCTCTAAAGAAGAAGTTGAAAATGTGAACAGTTTACAGAAGGATGGACGGACAACAGGTGAACAGAAAAGCTCTCTTGAGCTTTCAGCTCAGGTGAGCTAAAAAGCATATAAATATTTGTTGATTTATAAAATTCTTTCATTAAGTTTTTAGATGACTTGCTCTACATTTTGTGTAACATGTTCCGTCTTGCATTAGGACAATTCTCAGGTAATCTTGGACTTTCAGTGAGGCGTGACATTATGCTAGATAATTAGCATCTGAAATTTACACAGCTTTCATTCACTGTTGAAATAAACATAAAATAGAAATTCAGGCAAATGCCAATTAGTGTATCGAATAACCAATGAAATTATCTTGTCTGGCAAAGAGGTGGAGCGTCAGTCGTCGTTGTCAATGTTGTCAACAAAAATTTAAAGTTCCTGATGTCAATAATTTCTTAACCAATGAGAATCTATTCGCCATTTCACAGACGCTAATTACGCAGCGCCTCAATTACTGAAAGTCCAAGCTTACCTGAGAATTGTTCTATTTGAAAACTTTGATCGAACATCTTTGAGTCGAACACATAGGCCAGGCACGTATATGGCACACCAAATTCACAAAAATGAGCTAAACATAGTTTCACAGTCGATAAACTAGGTTTATCGGTCGTAAACTATAGTTTACGGACTGTAAACAATAGTTAACAACGTTAATCTATATTTTACATCCGTAAACCATAGTTAACGCGATAATCTATGTTTCACAACCGTAAACTATACTTAACACTGAAAACAGTCATTTGCGATTGCAAAACATAGATTATCTGATGAATACAGTTTCACGATTTGTAAACTATAGTTTACAAACCGTTAACTATAGTTAACGATCTGATAAATATAGTTTCACGATTTGTGAAACTATGATTAACAACTCTTAATTATAGTTTACGATTGTAAACTATAGTTTACAAACGTGAATCTATGTTTATCAACAAAATCTATTGTTAACGCTTATTACAGACAGATAAACTTAGATTATCATTCGTAAACTATAGTTAACAACCGTTAAATATAGTTTTACAGATGAAAACTATACTTAACGAATCGTTAACTATAGTTTACGGTTTGTAAACTATAGTTTACAGTCGATAAACCTAGTTTATCAAATGTGAAACTAGGTTTATCTCATTTTTTGTGAATTTGGCGTGCCATACACGTAGCATCGATTTTGAAAGTGGGGGCCAGCCACAGAAATTTTTTTTTTTTCTTACCTGAAAAAGTTGACAACCAAAAAAAAAAAAAGGAAAATTGCCCCAAATCGAAAATCCTATTTGGGGGGGGGGGGGGGGGGGGGGGGTTAGAGGCAAAATTATTTCACTACCAATTCCTTTCAATATCCAGTTTTTAAACTTACAATACTATATTTCCTTCATAATACTTTACTTTAGTATAAAGTAGGGGGGGGGCTTTCAATGAACATTTTCAATAGTAAAAGTATTGTTGGCAAAAAAAGTGGGGGGGGGGGGCAGGCCCTCCCCCTGGCCCCCCTGTTGCTACGTCCCTGATAGGTGAAGGCTCCGTTATTTTACAGTTTCAAAGGAGTAGGAATATGGTGTATATATATATATATATATATATATATATATATATATATATATATATATATATATATATATATATATATATATATATATATATATATATATATATATATATATATATATACCCTAAGCCTCCTATCAGAATTATGCCGGAAGGTTCAGGGATTGGACTAACCTTTAAAGATCTTTTTTTCTAATTAATTGAACTCCAGCAGACAAGCTACTGTGGAATCGATCATCATTGTGTGCGGGGGGGGGGGGGGGGGGGGGGGGGGGGGGGGGCAATGTTTGTGGATTTTGTGGGTCACCTTTACTTACGAATTTACATGC